AGCTTATAGTTGCAATCCTTACTCTAATGGCTAAGAGAGTTAGGCCACCTAGCTTATTGTTTCTATCCTTAATCGGTCGACTAAGAAAGTTAGGGCTTCCTAACTAGTTGCACCCGCCTCACGGTTTATAAACACATCTTTCACAAAAGAGTTTCGTTCATGGTTTCTTAATACAAGACTAGGGGGAGCAATACCCCGGTGGGGTCCTGTCATATAGAATTCTCCTCAATTTACTTTACTTGTTTGGTTTTCTTAGTTTTAAATAACCAAAAACCATTTTTGCTAGAAACTTGAGCGATTGAAGTAGAGATACATGGATCGGTCTAGGTTTGACAATTAAAACATACTTGCCTTAACACTAGACTGTATAGTCGGGATTATAATTCACGGTGTAGTCTAAGTGAGTCAAGGACCTCGACATTCCAGCAAATGTTGAATGTTGGAAGTGGATTTGGTCTCTTGAACTTCCACCCAAGATTTGTTTCTTCCTCTACAGACTACAGGTGTGTCAAAGGAGACCTAGTGACAAAAGCCAATCTACATCGCCGTAAAAGTGGAATCTGATACCCACTGCTTGTTTATATGCCCACACGCAGTTGCAACATGGAAGGTAGTAGTGCTTTCAAACACTTCTCCTATGAATCTTGCCTAGTGGATCTTCGACCTCCGTGAAGAAATGAACCTAGGAACTCTTCATCAAAAGGTCTTTTTCCTCTGGAACACTTGGAAGTTCAGAATGACTTCATTTTTAAAGGCAAAAGCAGTGTGTCGTGCCGCTACCTCTCTCTTTGCCTTCATGGAGGCAACCAAGCTCATTCCATCCCCTTATTCATCAGCTACTCGTGCCTCCCAACTCGGTGAATCTAACTCGTAATCGTGTCCACCATTATGAATTCCAAAAAAATCCATCGTGGCGGTTCTTATGACCCTTTGTTAGGGACAAGTTACGGTGATTACTACAAAAGTAGTAATCATCATGGTTACTAAGAGTAAATTGGGTATATAAAATAAATTGCATTAATTATTTTTTAATAAATTACATTTTAAATAGTTACAAAAATCTATTAATTACAATTCTCTCTCTTTCTCTCACTTCCATAATTTTCAGTCAGATCTACTTTCCTTATTTTTCTCAATCTTTCTACAAAAGAAAAAAATCACGAAATTACTACCAATCTATTAGACAACCACTACCACTTTGAAAAACATCAATACCATTGCAGAAATAAATCTTTACTATTACACGAAAACTACAAATATAAACAATCCACCAATATAAATTTATACCATTTCACAAAAAAACAATACCATTGAAGATTTAATCAATACCAATACATGCAATTTAATACCATTACATGATAATCAATACCAATAGGACAAAAACATACCAATGCAACAAAATCAATACCAATGCGATAAAAACAATACCATTGAGGCGAGAGGGTCGGAACACAGATCGCTTGTCCATCGGCTCCTGCCGCTGCCGGGTAGAGAGAGAGAGAGAGAGAGAGAGAGTGAGGAGGGTGGGGTGGGGTGGGGTTGGGGGAGGGAGGAATGGGAGAGGGGACGACGGCGGGGTTGGGAGGGAGGGAGGGATGGGAGGGCGGTGGGGGTGGGGTGGGGTGAAAGGGATGGGAGAGGGGACGACAGCGGGGTGGCGGTGAGGAAGCTAGGGCCGACAGCGGTAGGATGGGGGAGGATGGATTGCAGTAGGGTTTATATATATAGAGAGTAATCAGGTGTGGCTTTTTTTCATTTCCAAAATTATTGTTAATCTAATCTAACCACTAATTTAAAATTAAGGTGAAATAGAGATAATGAATGGTGTAGATTTTAGTAGCCATCATAATTATTAAAAATAAGTTACCATGCTAACCTATTCCCCCTTTGTTACATAAGGCGGGCACTGGGGTGGTTATTACTAATCTCGAGGGGCAAATTTTTTATGCGAGAGATGGGAGAGTTATGCTCATCTCTGACAGAGGCCAAGGCCTGTGTTTCATTGGAAGCTTGTAAGATTGCGTTTGAAAATCAAGTCATCACAATGATCCATTCTGATTGCAAGGCTTTGGTTGAGGCATTGGAGTTCAATTAGGATATTTATCATCCTAATTGGATTCAAATTTCATTTATCATTCTTAATTTCAACGAGAATGCAAATTGGATTGCTCGCAATGCTTGCTTAGGTTATTAACCCAATGATTGCATTATGGTTCTATGGACCTTGTATTTGCTCTCTTATAACCTCTATTGTATGGGAATGAAGTGATCGAATGTTTTATTAATAAAAAAGCAGGCAAAATATATTTGTGTAGCCAAAACTTTGACAGTCTAACTAAATATAGCCACTTTTAAAGAAATACCAAAAATAGCTAGAATTTGGATGGTTGAGTGATAAATCTAGCCATTTCCATTATTCATTTTAATGGTGTTAGAGATTCCTTCAGTTAAGTTAATGTCTTGCTCACTAGGATGCCACCTCAAAACTCACGTCAGCAAGAGCAGAACCTCAAGTGACACGTAGATGACACGTCCGATTTTATTTAAAAGTAATTAATCAATTTTATACCAAAAAATCCATTATAACAAAAAAAATCCAAGAACTTCCCGGCTTCCGCTCACCACCGTCCATTCTTGTTGACCCCATTGTTGACGTCGGCTTTGAGTTTTCTGCGTCAGCATGGCAAACAACGAGTTTCACTTCTCCAATTCGTGAGTGATTCATTTCATCAATTGAGCCTTGTGATGGTTGGATCTGGAAAATCTCTCGAGGATTCTTCCGATCTGTTTTCATCCGCTGGCGCTAAGAACACAAGAAAGAAGATGGAAAAAGCAATGGATGCCTAATCTCCATGACGCAACTCTTTTCTCCCAATTCCATAGAGGAGACGACCCAGGTTGGTGATCCCATCTCGAACCCAGACAACAATCGAACCCTAAAATCAAATCGAACAAATCCCTCTGTATCACTTCTCTGCCGCTTCGTCTCCTTCCCTTCCTGAATCGATCAAGGTGGTGAGGTCTGAGAAGAGAATCGGTCTGTTGTATAGAAGAAGAAAGCAAACTCTCCACCAACGCCTCAGTCCCTGTTTCGTCGTTACCCATGTTCTGAAATCCGACTCTAACCAGCCCATGAGGCGGTTGAAGAACGACCGTCATATAGCTCGCTTATCCAACCCTCCACCTCTCTTCTCCATCTCACTCTTGGAATTTTGATTTCAACCAAGGGGTCCGAAAGGGGGTAATTGACAACAAACAAAATCGGGCTCGCCGCCAGTGGCAGCTCGATCTTGTGGGAACTACATCTTTTGTTGTCGCTGGGTCATAGGGTGAAAGAATGATTGAGAAGGAGAATCGATGGATTTTTACTAGAGAGAAAGAGTTCAATGTTTTGGGGAATATGTGGTTTGGAAATGATTTGGGTCCTCTTTGATGGAATCAGGCGGTCAAAATGAAAGGGGGAAAGAAGGTTGATGAGGAGGAGGAAGGTAGAGGTAGGTATGGTGGCTACTAGCAGTGGAGGTGAGGAGGGCGGAGGGCTATGAGAGAGAGAGAGAGGGGAGGAGGTGAAGAGGGCGGAGGGTTATGAGAGAGGTAGATATTGTTTTTTTTTAAATAAATCCACGTGGTAAATACCATATGGGACGAAAATTGCCAGATCGAACGATTCATTAGTTCAGTTAGCATGTTAACTCGCACCGTTAAAAAATTGGATGGAAGTGATTATTTTTTATATTTCGTCAAAAGTGACTATATTAAACCAAACTGTCAAAGTTCTAACTACGCATATTTTGACAAAAAAAGAACTCACCCAGTATCAAATTAGTTCATTCACTCATAAAAGAAAGATGAGTAATGTCGATTTTTTATCCAAACCTTTTTCAGATTCTTTTATATTATCCAAACATATTAAAATGCTATTAATTAGCCAAATCTTTCGAAATGCATCAAAATATTAATCATTTTTACATTATCGTTAATAATTTTCTAACTATTTTCTTAGTTAAATAATGCAGTTAAAATCGCGTTTTAAAACTTAAAAGCTTACGGTTTTACGCTTCTAGATCACCAAAACGCATTTGTTTCCATATAATAACTTAAATGTATAAAATCGTACTAAATTGCGCTTTAAAGCTTTAATGCTTACGCTTTTACGCTTCTAGGTAACCAAAACGCTTTACGATTTTAAGCTTTTAGTTTACTAAATGATTATTCTTTTCGTGAAATTAATTATAAAAAGTATATATTTAAAGGTAAATCGCCAAAAATAAGATGCATTTGAGATTAAAAGATACATACCAGGTACTTGGATGCATTCTCAGCTTCAATAGAGTAATCTAATTCACCACCTAGGCTCTTCCCAAATATATACATGAACTTATTATTTAGAGCCTATAAGTTGCTCTACTTTAGACATGAATTGCATATATTTATTAACTTATCCAAATTTTCTGCACTCACCTTTTACATAGTATATGCCGTACTTAAACATATTAATAGTTATTTTATAGTATGTGTAAAAAACTTACGCTTTTACGTTTTGATTCTACGCTTTACGAGTTTACCCCTTTTTCGCTTCTAGGTAGAATTGCGCTTTTGACTGTATTGTTAAAATACTAAAATGTTGTAATGTGACTTTCATATGTTTCTTCCAAGTTAGTATCATGTTGCCATGTTAATAGTACTAACAAAATTCTTAATTGAAAGTTAACATTTGACTAATTAATAGCATTTAAATAAATTTGAATAATATAAAGAAATCTGAATAAAATTTGAATAAAAAATAGAGATTACCTAGATTTGAAAACTAATAATAATGAGGGGGTTGAATTGAATTGAACTGTAAAGCACTTTTCGGTGAGCTGTAGCTGTTATGTCAAAATGAAAATGTTTTATTTATTTGATTTTTCTTTTGTTTGCAATTTTTGGCGCTGTATTGCTCCGTTTCGTACGTCGTTATCCCATCTGGACAAAAGCGAAAATTCCCAACCTCACTCTCTCACTCAACAACTCCCAAGTGCCGAACCTCACTCCCCCCCTCTCTTCTTTCTTATTGTAGCTGCTGCTTTCTTCCTTCTGCCTCAAGAAGGTCTCGATCTCGCCTCGGATTCCGCTTTCCACACGCCTCCGAGCTCAACCCAGCTATGCTAATGGCTAAATGCTAGTGCCGCGCCCATCTGCTTCCGCTAATTCCGTCTTACCTTCCTCCGAGGTTCAACCCTCGCCCCTCCTGAACCACATTTACTTCCTTAATCTGCATTCTCTTCTTCTTCATTTACTCTGTGTAGTTAATTGCGCTTTCGTTTCTTCGTCGCTTTCTTAATTTCTTGCTTGCTAATTGCTATCACTTCGTTCATTCTTTGCCAACTGACTCCTACCTCCACCAAATTTCAAGATCTGTCTCATTTTCCAAACTTGCATGTTCTCTGCAATATGCTCCTTTCAAGCCGTAGGCTGTTGGTCTTCTTTAGTCTTGCGATTCTTGACGGATGTCAACTGGGTTTCTATTTTTTTTTTTTTTTTACTTCAGTACTAGAGCTTCTTTACCGCTTCCCATGACCACCATGTTGCCTTTCCACAGAACGGAGATGGGTTCTTAAGTGAACTAGCTCTTCTTCTTCTTCTTATTTCCTTCTCGATCGATTTTTGGTTGGAATTTGCCAGCATAGACCCAAGTATCTACTTGATTACTTCCCTTTTGCTTAGGATTCTTCACCCCCTTATGAAGTCATTGGTTGTTGGTCTTGGATGAGTAAAGGCAATTTCTTTTAGGTACTTATTGATTATCCACCGTTTTTGTGTTGTTTATTAATTGACTAAAGTCAATCCATACTTGAACAATTCAAATGAGCAGTCCACAATTAAGATGTATGATTAGAGTAGATAAAAATGAAAGCAACGCTCTTTTGCTCGCTTTACATATTCCTTATCATGAAACTTTCCCTTTTTCCCCACATCTTGGTTTCCTGCTGATGATTACCTTCACTAGTCGTGCTTTTGTTTGATGTTGGATATTAGAATGCTCTTGAGAAATGAGTGAGCTTGACTTTTTCTAGTCAATTAAGCTGGAGTGAGTGGTGAGTAAAGCAATGGAGAAGATTCTGAATTGATTTTGGTAGTTATGTTAATAGTTGAACCCACTGTTGGGGAAAGAGGAAGACGGGGGTTCTCATCTCAACATGTCCTTGTCTTTTTGTTTACTCTTTTATTACGAAAAGAACAAAGGTGAAAAGAAGACAACCACAGTTAACGGTGGAGAATATAGCCAGTAAGGGCTGGATGTGGGCAGCTTGCTGAGAATGAACGACCTAGTCAGTTGCCCACTAGATCTAGAATTCCACCTATACTTGCCCTATGCTCTTCAACCATAAGTATCACTGTGTCTTTTAATCTGTTCCTATTCCACCTCATTGAACCATACTTGCCCTCTGCAACTTCTGCTCTTCAACCATAAGTATCACTGTCTTTTAACGTGTTTTTGGTCAAGAACCTCTTTCAGATTCAAAGTTTAGAACAGCAGCCCGCTAAAGATCCAAATTCTGGTTACTTAGAGAGTTTTCTAGAGTTTGGTATTGATGAAATTTCTTGCTGTTTACTATCTGCAAGTGGCAACTCTTGGTTGGTTTTGTTACAATGTAGGCGTTTAGGACAATAGACATCCACATTACTTGTTGCTAACGTTGTTGTGGTTTGCAGGGCATTACATTTGACCAACACACAGCCAGTTGATTCCTCCATGAAGCTCAGCAGGGTTTTGCCCCTGGGCTTCTTCCTTGTCGCCACCTTGCATTCCCTAGCTGTTGCAGACCTCAATTCAGACAGGCAAGCTCTTCTTAGCTTTGCTGCTACTGTGCCACATTATCGTTTCCTCAACTGGAATCCTGCTTCTTCAATATGCGATTCTTGGGTGGGTGTCACATGCAACTTGGATGGCTCTCGTGTGGTTGCTCTCCGACTCCCTGGAGTTGGACTTATGGGCCCTATACCTCCCAATTCTCTTGGTAAACTTGATGCCCTGAGAGTCCTCAGCCTTCGGTCCAATGTCCTTATTGGGAATCTTCCTACAGATGTTACCTCTCTTCCCTCACTTCACTCCCTATACCTGCAACACAATAACTTGACTGGAAATATCCCTACCTCTTTTTCCGCACAGCTCAATGTATTAGATCTCTCTTTTAACAATTTCACAGGCAACATTCCTCAAACGTTGTCAAATTTGTCACAACTCACTAGCTTAAACCTTCAAAACAACACGCTCAATGGACCCATACCAGATCTTAATCGCCTCACACATTTGAATTTGAGTTACAACCATTTGAATGGTTCAATTCCTTCATATCTTCGAAGTTTCCCCGATTCATCCTTTGCCGGAAACCCTCTGTTGTGTGGGTTACCTCTCAATCCCTGTGCTAACCCTCAGCCATCCCCATCTCCTGCATCCTCCTCTCCACCAGCAGCAGGCCCACACAAGAAACGTTCAAAACTGAAACTGTCAAAAGGGATTATCATTGCCATTGCTGTAGGAGGATTTGCTTTGTTATTCATTTTTGCTTTGATTGTTCTATGCTGTTGTTTGAAGAAAAAAGACAATGGTGGAGGCAGTAGTGTGTTGAAGGGGAAGGCAGTCAGTGGTGGCAGGGGCGAGAAGCCGAAAGAGGAATTCGGGAGTGGGGTGCAAGAACCGGAGAAAAATAAGTTGGTGTTCTTCGAAGGTTGCTCCTACAATTTTGATCTTGAGGACTTGCTGAGGGCTTCAGCTGAAGTGCTGGGAAAGGGTAGTTATGGCACTGCATATAAAGCCGTATTGGAAGAATCAACAACAGTGGTAGTGAAGAGATTGAAAGAAGTGGTGGTGGGCAAGAGAGAGTTCGAGCAGCAGATGGAGATTGTAGGGAGAGTTGGTCAGCACCCAAACGTTGTTCCACTCCGCGCTTATTACTACTCAAAGGATGAGAAGCTTCTTGTTTATGACTATATCTCGGCTGGCAGCTTGAATGTGATGTTGCACGGTATGTATCTTGATCATAATTTGTAGGAAGTTGCAGTAGAAACATTTTCTTTTCTGACTCTTTGTTTTCTGTAGTTCTGATCATAGCATTTGTTTGACAACAGGTAGTAGGGGAGTGGGGAGATCGCCATTAGATTGGGAGAGCAGAGTAAAGATAGCACTTGGAATTGCGAAGGGAGTTGCTCACCTGCACTCCGTGGGGGGTGCAAAGTTCAGTCATGGGAATATAAAGTCTTCGAACGTGCTGATGATCACAGAGAACGAAGGCAGCATTTGTGATTTCGGGCTGGCACCATTGATGAATGTGCCCATGACTCCGTCAAGAAGTGTGGGGTACCGTGCTCCAGAGGCGATTGAGACACGTAAGCACAGCCACAAATCCGACGTGTACAGCTTTGGGGTGCTGATATTAGAGATGCTGACGGGGAAAGCTCCCATGCAGTCCCCTGGACGGGATGACATGGTGGATCTACCAAGGTGGGTGCAATCTGTGGTGAGGGAGGAATGGACAGCAGAGGTATTCGATGTGGAGCTGATGAGATACCAAAACATCGAAGAGGAAATGGTGCAGATGCTACAGATTGGAATGGCCTGTGTATCTAAAGTGCCAGACATGAGACCGAGCATGGAGGAAGTGGTGAGGATGATCGAGGAAATCCGGCAATCCGACTCAGAGAACCGACCTTCGTCTGAAGAGAACAAATCCAATGTCCAGACTCCTTGATTGCTGATTCTTTTAAACAGTTAACGTACATTGATTTTTCTTCGCCCTGCTATCAGGCTGTCGAGTGCCGTTTGTGTGTGGGTGTTGGTGAAGTGTAGATTTAGGAAAGTCGACGCTTCATTGTGATTGTTATGTGTCTAGAGAAATTGTTTATCTTCTTTGTTTGTGATTTCTTCCCTCTTCTCTCTCTTTACAATTTCTAGTCACTCAGGATTCAACCGTCTTCTTATATTAAAAAAGCATTCTGCTGCCAGAAGATTGTAACCTATTCCTGGTAGTGTTGTTTCATTTATGTTTTCCGTAATACTAACATGGCATTGGCTGATTAACCCAAATAGAAATCAAAGGAAATGTGTGGCTAGGGATGAAGTAACGACTAGTTTATCCCCAGTTAATAGAAGAAAAATAGGTTAATGTTATGAAAATATTGATTATGTGAATGATGACATTAGATGTACGCATTATTGTACGATCTTTTAGGCAGCGTTCCAATGATTTATTTGATAAATTATTTAGATAAGATACCTACATAAATTTCACATATTGTATTAATCATTGCGAATAAAATGTCATTCCATTTGCTAAAATGATATATAATAAAGAACTATCTCTACATAAGATTCATATAGTGTTTAATCATTATAAAATACTTACATAATATTTTTGTTTAACTGATACATATAAAATGATAGGACTTTGCTACGATGACATGCATGTCACGGTGACATGCACTTTTCGGTCGACCTAATCTGTTGTTTCAGTGTAAAAACAGTTTCATGGTGCCTACTTTGGATATTCATATCTTACAATTGGCTAGATGGAAATTGGAGATTAAAGGCTTGTTTTGAAGCTGAAGTGTCCCTCTACACATTAAAGTACTTGGGAGCTCAATAGAAAGTCCAGAAGACCATTTTTGAACCTTACCAAAAGGTTATGCCAAAACTGGGAAACTGCCTGAAAATGGCTAAGTCTGGCAACGTGTTTGTCAAGCCTACTTTGGAGCTCAATTTGAGAAACATGGATGCGAGTCAAGTCCAGAGGCCTCTACCACGTTAAATTACGTATTTTTTTACACAAAGGCAAGGCATTGGATGAAAAATTGAATATCTTTAAGGCTTCAAACAAAAGGCTCGAAGTTGCTACGAAGGATGTTTTTCTGGCAGCTTGCTTGTGCTCGAAGTCTGCCAAAAAAACAGCCTTCGTAGCAACTTCGACCCTTTTGTTTGAAGCCTTACAAATATCCAATCTTTCATCCAATGCCTTGAATTTGTATAAAAACATACCTAATTTAACGTGGTAGAGGCTCCTGGACTCGACTCTCATTCATGCTTCTCGAATTGAGCTCCAAAATAGGCTTCACAAACACGTTTCCAGACTTAGCCATTTTCAGGCAGTTTCCCAGTTTTGGCATAGCCTTTTGATGAGGTTCAAAAATGGTCTTCTACACTTCATATCGAGCTCTTAATCACTTCAATATATAGAGGGACACTCTAGCTTCAAAACAAGTCATTAGTCTTCAATTTCCATCTAGACAATTGTATGATATGAATATCCAAAGTAGGCACCATGAACTGTTTTTACACTGAAACAACAGATTAGGTCGACCTGATCCTATATGAGGTCGACCGAATCCTAAATGAGGTCGACCGGATCCTATATGAGGTCGACCGGATTCTGAATGAGGTCGACCTAATCCTAACTGAGGTCGACCGGAAAGTGCAAGTCCCCATGACATGCATGTCACCGTAGGCACACCCAAAATGATAATATGTTCATAAGCTTTACATAGTGTGTTGATCATTAAGGAATACTCATGTAATATCTTACATAATAGTTATTCCTTTATGAAATTTAGTTTATCTAGTATCTATAAATTTTACAAATGAATATTTAGTTTATGTAATTTTTATAGAACGTTATTTATGTAACTATTATAAAAAGCTGTAACATAAAATTTTCATAATGTGTAGTCTAATAATAAAATCAAGTTACATAAAGTAATATTTTATAAATTTGTGATTTGTGTAACTGTTATAGATTTTTTCTTATATAGATCTTTCAAAATGTGTAATTTGATAATAAAATGAAATTTTAGAAAATAACAAATAAATAAATAATTATGTCAAAGTTAACTAATCTTGCGAAACTTTTGCATCATGCAATGAGCTTATAACAATGAGCTTATGATAAAAGTGAAAATAAAGGAGTTTTAGTTAAATAAAAACGATCTTATGATAAAATTGGATGTAGGAGATAACTCATTGTGAACGGTACCCGTTACAAAAAAGGGTAACAAATAAAATATTGTTCCTATATTTTTTTTATGAATCTGTGGGATCTTATTCATCAAAAAGGAAAATTTTGCTAGCAACACCCTTGCTAGCTAGGGGAGAACAGAATCAACCTGTTTACATCAGCAACAACTACCAAAACTACCTCTGAAACAACACAAACTAGTCGACCCAAAAAAGACTCACCCTCTCCCTTCCAAGAACAAACATAACCTCAGCTCTGATTACAGCCAGAACGTCATTCAAACCCCTAACTTTTCCCCCATACATTCTGCAACACCTTTCTCTCCACATCTGACTAACCCATGACTGCCAGATAAGTCTTCCTGTCTCTGCCTCCTCCGTTTGCTTACCATACTTCCCAATCAACCATGAAACCATATCCCCCCAACTTTGGAACATTGGGATCTGCATACAACCTGCAAACAAATTATCAAGAATCTGCCTAGTGAAGGGGCAGAGGACAAACAGGTGTTGCCTACTCTCAACCCCTGCACCACAAAGAACACAGTGAAAGGGCCATTGAAATCCCCATCGCTGCATCTTGTCTCTTATTTGTATGCTATCTCTGTTAACCAGCCAAGTGATCAAACGATTGCTGGGAATGGCCACACCTTTCTAGAACAGTTTCCACCAGTCAACCCTCTGCTGAGAAGGTCTTAGAAGCTGCCATACTCTTTTTATAGAGAAACGAGGCATAGGTAAACCATCCGGCAGCAAAACACCATTTCTGCTCAAAATAAATGGGGCAAGTCTACTTCTGAGCTTTAATATCTTTAGCCAATTCCAGGACCCTGAAGTACAGGTATAGTTCCATAAGCATCTCCCTTTCAATTTGTATTTATGAATCCATGCAACCCACAGAGACCCCTCCTGTAGTAAAATCTGCCAGACATGCCTTGCAGCACAAGCATAGTTCCAGCTACTCATGTCCCTAAATCCGAGCCCTCCCTCTTTTTTAGGATAGGTGATTTTCTTCCATGTCACATTGGCTCTGAGCTTCACCCCCCTTTCCACTCCCCATATAAAATTGCTACACAATCTCTCCACTTCTCTAATCACTGCCTTGGGGAGAAGGAAAAAAGAAATCCAAAACTGATTCAGACTATAGAGCACAGTACCCACCAATTCAATTCTACCAGCATAAGATAATGACTTTGACTTCCAAGCTGTGATTCTAGCAACTATTTTCTCTATAAGAGGTTTGCAGGCTGATAAGCTCAGTTTACCAGAAATCAGAGGCACACCCAGATACCTGACAGGGAACTCTTCCAACTTGTAACCATATCTATCAGCTCTAACTTTCCTTTCATCATGAGGTAACCCTCCAAAGTAAATTTCACATTTACTAAGGTTAGACTTTAGACCAGAAATCTGTCTAAACTGATTCAAAATTCTCTGCAGCTCCTGAATCCCATAGTTTGAGGCATCACTAAAGACCAAGAGGTCATCAGCAAAGCAGAGATGGGTGAGGTTTATCCCCTTACACATGGGGTGGAAGGGAAATCTCCCAGCAGCAGCTGAGTGATCAATCAAACAAGTAAAAACATCCATGGCTACTGCAAATAGGTAAGGAGACAGAGGGTCTCCCTGTCTGAAACCTTTCTTTGCTGGGAAGTAACCCACCAGTCCACCATTAAAGCATACACTCAACATTGGGGTACTTACACACATTCTAATCCATGTAATAAATCTCTCAGGGAGCCCCATACATTTAAGAACTTGGAAAATGAATGACCAGTCAACCGAATCAAAAGCTTTCATAAGGTCAATTTTTAGAGAACACCTAGGGGATATTTTGTTGTGGGAATACTTGCTAACCAGTTCATGGGCCATTAGAATATTTTCCCCAATCAATCTCCCTTTAACAAAGGCAGTTTGGTTTTTGCTAATCAGCGCAGGGAGTAGTGGACTTAAACGATTGGCTATAAGTTTAGATATGCACTTGTACAATATATTGCAGCATGAAATAGGCCTAAAGTTCCTCATTTCATCAGGGTTAAGGGTCTTAGGAATCAAAGCTAATATAGTGGCATTCACTTGTCTAGGTAACCTATCTTGTTCAAAACAGTATTGGATAGCAGCAGTTACCTCTGAACCAATAACTGGCCAAGCATACTGGAAAAAGGCCGCAGAAAACCCATCTGGATCAGGACTTTTGTCCCCATCCATTTTAAAGATGACTTTTTTGATCTGCTCCTCTGTGAAAGAGTCACAGCAGCCTTCAGTTTGCTCCTCAGTAAGCTTCCACTTCAGCAAGCCAGAAATGTACTAATCTGTTTGAACTACAACCTCAGAATCCTCAACTCCAAGAAGCTTCTCATAGAATCTGACTGCTATTTGTGACATCTCATCAACATCTTGTATCTTTTCCCCTTGCTCATTTTTCAGGACTCTGATTGTACTTCTCTTCTGCCTAGTCTTTATAGATCTGTAAAAATAAGCTGAGTTAGAATCACCTGTTTTCAACCAAGTTTCCCTTGACTTCTGGTGGAGAAATGATTCTTCATCACAGTATAAAGCTCTCAGTTCCTGCTCCAGCTGAGTCATTCTGGCAAAATTCTCAGATGAAGGGTTAGACAACGCCTCCTGCTGCATACTCTGAACTTCTGCTTCTTTGCCTTTAACCCTTTCCCTTAAATCCGAATACTCCTCTCTATTTAATTTCCTCAACAAATTCTTCAAATTCTTTAACTTCTTGCAGACTCTGATGAGAGGATGACCAGTCACTCTACTATGCCATGCTTCTGCCAATAGATCATCAAATTTTGGATGTCTAATCCAGAATTTGAAAAACTTGAACGGTTTGGGCAGAGACTTCATAGAAGCACAAGTGTCAACATATAGTGGGTAGTGATCTGAAACCCCAGGGGTTTGGATATGAACTTTGCTATCCTTTACCTTGTCTAACCATTCAAAATTAATAAGCACCCTATCTAGTCTCTTGGCTATTGGGTTAGCAGATTGCTTATTCAGCCAAGTAAACCATGGCCCC